CACTAATTCCCAGTCAATTGTTATTTACTTAGATGGATAGCAGCGATTCATGCATGACGTTTGTTTTTATGACATGCTTGCAATGCCATCTACCACATAGAGTATGATTGTGCCATGTGTGTATTGCTGCATTCACGTTGAGTCATAATTGGATGAGGTAATCTGACATACATCATCGTCTTCTGAATAACCACTGCTTTACGAAAGACTCAAGGATCAAATCATCAGCTTGACCAACAAATTACCAAAATTCGTCTCAGGTGAATAAATATTCAACATGTATTCATCAATTCTACCTTTAATACTATCGACTACTGGACATCACATAACGGCCTCATATTGAAACATACATCGTTGACTGAATACCGACTAAGGATGAAAACCGAATGAAATTCACGAGACTCACTATTCTCATTTCAGTTGTCTCATCGGTTATGAGTGAAATGTGGTTAATTTCAGAAATTGTTCCATCACTTATCATACAATGTTAGAAACGCTATCCATCATACAAACTCATTCTCATTTTAACAAACTAACGATAACCGAGAATCCATCAATCATACACTTGAATCACCACAACACAATCACTATCATGTGATCATCTCACCACTGTGCATCGAATCGCATTTGAAATCCACTGTATATTTTGACTAGTATTCAGTGTTTCGAGACAATCGGCATTGAGTGATGAACGTTGAACACGGATCATATTACGATTTACCGGAATTCAGTTGAATCTGTTTCGATTGATCATAGTTACACAAATTGATTATTATAGATGAATATTGAAATTCGACACTCACCCATATGGTGTATCTGTAGTTTGCATAAATTTAATACTCATTCAGAAAATTCTTGACATCTAATTGTGTAGTCAAGTATTTTGGAAATGAGTTATGAGATTTTATTAAATGAGAGTCATATTGCACCACATCATCTTTTCATTTGTGATTTCCTTCCAGACTCAACTCAATCGTCGTTAAATTGCATTCTATCAATTATCATAATCTGTCAGTAGAAGGGATGATACATAATTGTGTAATTGGGAAAGTGGTCAACGTGTGGACACAAGGAGCAAGCTACAATTTGGATAGTTCACAAGAAGCATCCATTAATCAACGACAATATTCGAATAATGATGGTGATATTTTTGCATTGAATGTAAGCTGAAATAATCTATGTATGCTTTGTTCGTCATCATGATACTTACCGGCGTATTAATGAGATAAAAATAAGAGACATTTAAAACTGCTTAACTGTTAACTATTTTACAGATTGTAGTGAACGAAAACACAAGTGGGGATAATCGAATGGAAAATTACAGAATCCCTTATTAAAATCTGAGAACCATTCAGTAAATACTTCATTTGCAAAATGTCCATCAATCTGCACAGACTTCATTGTTTTTTTGTTTCCACACCAATCATTCTTTGTTCTCGTTCACTTTTCCTCAATCTTCCTAACATTTTTCCATTATTCATTTCTCTTTCGATTGATAATACATACTACTTATATCTGTCGATGTCAGTAGCACATACCATAAGATGAAAAATATAGAATGCCAAAATGATTTAGTATATGATCTCAATAGTGAATATAGTGCCCATTCAAACGAATCGGACGAAATTGCGAAGGTCGCTACTAATAAACACACGTTCATCAGGGAGATTTTGTCGACCTTGTTATTGCTTAACTGTGGTAATATTTAGTAATGCTACTAATACATATGAACTGTTATTAAAAATTCATTTAATATGTGAAAATACTGATAATTATGTATATTTTGAAAAGATAGTTGACAGTGATTGGTTAAACATGAATGCACCCATGAGAGGTATGCTCCAGACCCAATTTCCTGATTTACAATAGACCATTTATTTATATTCATATGTACCGAATGATAATGCATGCAAGTTAGTTGCAAGTATCGAATCTCGCATCAGTTAAGAAACCAACTTATATGAAATACAGTCATTATAACTTGAAGGACCAAGTAAAGTCATCAATATATCGTTGCGTTTTATCAAACCTGGTTGATAGTGGTTACATAATGAGTGAAATTCACCTATTTCAAACAACCTACCATATTCATTCTCACTTTTCTAACAAGATTCGATATTATCTCTTTTATATTAGCAGAAGCTGTAGGAATTCAAGTCAATAATACTAGTTCTAATGAAAAGCAGTGACCAATAAAGTTTAGCTGTGCCTATTGTGAGATAGTAATTCACTGAAGACACTTGTAGATGTGTCTCTCAACTTCGTGGATTAGTTGAAGTAAGACATCAACACCGTTGGATGTTGACTCAGTGGTCTAGAGCATAAGCGTTCTCGCGCGGGACCGATAGGTCCTAGGTTCGAATCTCAGGAGTCGAGATCGTGGATGTTTACTAGTGAGGAGTCTCACAATTGGACGAAACGGCCATCTATTGCCTCAAGATTCTCCATGATGGTTTAGCTTAATAAACTGTTTTACCACATCATCATACTCTTTGTTTATTCCTTCTTCTTTACAACATCATTTATACCACACAAACTGATTATTTATGCATTATGTATAAAGCAATTTTCATGATTACCAATTTGATAAAACTATATTTCAAAGTTCTATTTTGAGAAGTATATTGAAACTGCACTTGTGTTGATGATATTAAATAAAAGGACAATGGTCATGTTATGATTAATTGATTCATCCAAGAGGATCATTTCATTGTTAGAGTTATGAGATAAAATTAACTATGAAGTGAATTCCAAATAGAAAGGTTGAAATTCAAAGTTTGTAGTTACTTACTTACTTACTTACTTACTTACTTACTTACTTACTTACTTACTTACTTACTTACTTACTTACTTACTTACTTACTTACTTACTTACTTACTTACTTACTTACTTACTTACTTACTTACTTACTTACTTACTTACTTACTTACTTACTTACTTACTTACTTACTTACTTACTTACTTACTTACTTACTTACTTACTTACTTACTTACTTACTTACTTACTTACTTACTTACTTACTTACTTACTTACTTACTTACTTACTTACTTACTTACTTACTTACTTACTTACTTACTTACTTACTTACTTACTTACTTACTTACTTACTTACTTACTTACTTACTTACTTACTTACTTACTTACTTACTTACTTACTTACTTACTTACTTACTTACTTACTTACTTACTTACTACTTACTTACTTACTTACTTACTTACTTACTTACTTACTTACTTACTTACTTACTTACTTACTTACTTACTTACTTACTTACTTACTTACTTACTTACTTACTTACTTACTTACTTACTTACTTACTTACTTACTTACTTACTTACTTACTTACTTACTTACTTACTTACTTACTTACTTACTTACTTACTTACTTACTTACTTACTTACTTACTTACTTACTTACTTACTTACTTACTTACTTACTTACTTACTTACTTACTTACTTACTTACTTACTTACTTACTTACTTACTTACTTACTTACTTACTTACTTACTTACTTACTTACTTACTTACTTACTTACTTACTACTTACTTACTTACTTACTTACTTACTTACTTACTTACTACTTACTTACTTACTTACTTACTTACTTACTTACTTACTACTACTTACTTACTTACTTACTTACTTACTTACTTACTTACTTACTTACTTACTTACTTACTTACTTACTTACTTACTTACTTACTTACTTACTTACTTACTTACTTACTTACTTACTACTTACTTACTTACTTACTTACTTACTTACTTACTTACTTACTTACTTACTTACTTACTTACTTACTTACTTACTTACTTACTTACTTACTTACTTACTTACTTACTTACTTACTTACTTACTTACTTACTTACTTACTTACTTACTTACTTACTTACTTACTTACTTACTTACTACTTATTACTTACTTACTTACTTACTTACTTACTTACTTACTTACTTACTTACTTACTTACTTACTTACTTACTTACTTACTTACTTACTTACTTACTTACTTACTTACTTACTTACTTACTTACTTACTTACTTACTTACTTACTTACTTACTTATTACTTTACTTACTACTTACTTACTTACTTACTTACTTACTTACTTACTTACTTACTTACTTACTTACTTACTTACTTACTTACTTACTTACTTACTTACTTACTTACTTACTTACTTACTTACTTACTTACTTACTTACTTACTTACTTACTTACTTACTTACTTACTTACTTATTACTTACTTACTTACTTACTTACTTACTTACTTACTTACTTACTTACTTACTTACTTACTTACTTACTTACTTACTTACTTACTTACTTACTTACTTACTTACTTACTTACTTACTTACTTACTTACTTACTTACTTACTTACTTACTTACTTACTTACTTACTTACTTACTTACTTACTTACTTACTTACTTACTTACTTACTTACTTACTTACTTACTTACTTACTTACTTACTTACTTACTTACTGACTTACTTACTTACTTACTTACTTACTTACTTACTTACTTGTTTTCCTGGTTATCGTTTTTTAGCGATTTAGTTTTCTACGGGATGGGATCACTAGCCCTATGGTATACTAAATGACAACTCATAGTATAAATATATTTTTCTCTTGTCACTTGAAATTCAATCATACACACATAGTCCAAGTTAAAAGAAGCAGGAAAATTTATTGATAAAGATTACTAGTGTAGTATAATAAAAATTCTAATTTATAAGTAAAACAAGTGATTGTAAACTTAGCTTTCTTGCATCTCATTACAATTTCCTAATCACATTATACATGAACATTCGTATATAGTACGAATATTTGCTAGCCCACGATCTGACTCCAATGAGATCTTTTCTGATTACTATTGAAATATACATATCGCCATTCATCGACTTAGATCACATTAGTGAATAATGGAATTAAATAAGTCAAATACGAGAATGAATTTCCCAATACATATATCTGTTGTATAATCGTTGATCAAACAGATAATCAGAGAGACGTAGCGAAGGAAGCGAAGAAGAGAGAACGAAACGACGGACAGTACTGAGCCAACTCCATTTAATCAAGCGTTAATCAACATTTATAGTCACATAAAAATAAGCTACTGACATGTGGTAAGTAGGATAAGAAGTGTACACATATACATATAGTCAAGTTTGATAAGTAAACAATTAGCGAGGTCAAGATGTAACTCAAATAGAATGGATAAAATGGTTTGCCCAGAAGCTAGAATAATCTATATAGGCTTATACATAATAACTGACACTACAAGAGATTTAAGTTTCAGAAATGAGTAAACTTATACAAAGAGTAATATAAGTCACAACATAACCATTATCCATGATATACATTGACCACTGAAAAATTGGCTGTTTATTCAAAGAGAAAAAATAAAATACTTGAGAATTCTTCTTCAACACATATTTCCCTAGAAATATATATTCAATCGAATTTAGTTAGAACTATTAAATGAATTGAAGATTGAACATTTAATAAAGTAGTACTGGTAGTAGTAGTATTCGTTGAATTCAAAATTCTTAAACCTGTCATTGAAGATAACCACATTAATGTTAAAAATAAATTCCACCAACAATTGTAAAGAATTCCAGCTGCTAATACTAAATCCATTTGATGATATCGAAATGTACCACCTCCAAATACCATCTTCAATTCAAATAATAATTTCTATGAAAGAGAAATTATCAATACATGTGTAAATATACATATATGTACAATGAGATGAGGAATCATTGCACAATTATTCTTCATTCAATTGACTAAGACTTCTGAACCAGTTGATCAGGTACTGAATTCATGATCATGTTAAATATCTTACATAGAAGATTTTAGAATACTAAGATCACTTGACTTCTATACATAAACTAGTTGTTAAGGTGTAGATTGATTTGTATTATCCCCTTGCCAACTTCTCTCTTTGATTTGATTGTGTTAGACTAAACATCAATTATGTAGTCAGTATTAGATGATTTTATGCATCAGTAATATCATGAACAAATTGAATAACTTATTTGAAAATATCCACTTCTCACCAAAATATGAGATTCAATCAGTTGTCAAACAATTTAGAAGTAGTATTAGTAGTAGTATGAGTGTTGTGGAGATTTCCGGATGTTAGTATGATCATGAATTGATCTAAGTTAGGAAACCATATGAAATTTGGAGTCCTCATCAGTGCCTAACCATAACCCCATCATCGGGATCAAACTGAGAACATTCGATCTTGTACGACGACGTATAACCTGTAGACCACTTAGCCGAGATTCAATGATATGCAAGTTTAACTTCAATCAATCTACGACATTATGTGATCAACTTCACAAGTTCAAATGGAATATTGGGAAGCCTTCAAATTTCTAATAGTATTGATTATATAATTATGAAAGAGGAATTAAAAATGAATGTATGTTATGTAAAATTGACTTTCAAACAATATGCGTATGATAGTTAGTTGAGGATGTTCCACCAAATGTAAAAACAAAAACAAAACAGTTCACTTACAAAGACTGTTAATGGAAATGTAATTGCACCAGCAATAACTAGTACAATCTAATAAAAGATAGAAAGAAATAGTGTGATGAAATAAGTTTCACGCTATCGAAAATCAATAAAGCGAGACAACTATTGATTTAATATGTACCAAAAAATAAGTATAAGCAATTGAGCATATAATGCCATAAATCCCTTTCTACTAAACGTTGATTAACAGACCAACTTTCATTAGCACAAACATTTACTCAGTTTTTGAATCAGTCGAATGACAAATGAAGTTTGTTTTGAGATAGTGGAGTGGATTTCCATTCTCTGATCTGAATGGTTTACACTGAAATCATCCAGATCAAAGAATGAGATTTCACGAAAATTTTACTTTCTTCACTGATTAACATCAACTAAGTGAATATTATCAATCCAAAGTGTCATTGAACAACTAGTTTGTATCAATTCTAATAACTGAAATCATGAGTCAGTTCAAGGCAGACCACCATAGAGAATCTAAAAGCACTGGACGGCCGTTTCGTCCTATTGTGAGACTCCTCAGCAGTGCGCATCCACGACCTCACCTCGCGAATTCGAGAGATTCGAAACAAGCACCTCGCGCACGAGCGCTTAACCACTAGACCACTAAGCCGGCATTCAACGGTGTTAATGTCTAACTTCATGGTAGTCTCGCTTCAACCGACTCATGATCTCAACTATTGAAATTGCTACAATCTCCACAAAACCCCTTCTGGTACTTTGTATCAGTTTAACATCCCACAGGAATATAAACTCACAAACATCCAATAAGTATATATAATTCAGAGCTTTTAGGTGTATCAACGAGTACATGACCGACAGGAATTTTAGCTAGTATCCAATAGATCACATGTTCAACTTCGATCTAAGAACATTAGAATAAATTATGTTTTTACATCAGTTACAAGTACTGGGTAGTGATAAACAAATAAACTGACTATTTCAATTTACTTCAATATAACAACATTATTCCCAATTTGCCTTCTATTCAATACCGTCAGTTAGAATTTCATTGAATATGTGATTTCCCTATTAGAACTGAAACTATCTCACTTAAAATGCTTAATCATTATGTTAGCATATTCATAACAAATGATAACATAGAGTTATTTACAGAATTTAAATTGAATATATGAGCTTTATAATGACAAACAAAATACAATTACATTATTCTTATTCATTGTAAAGTAAAGAATCTGTCCAATGATTAGTATCAAATCAATACTTAATGTAACAAACAGATTGATGGTGTAATGTTTACTGAAATCATATTGTAGAACAGTTATAGTGCAAACAATTAAATTAATGAATGTCACCGATACAGCGAAGATGAAATAGACAACATCCTCGAAGTACAACGTTGCATCCGATGCGATTGCAATGGTTGAAAATAATGTCTGTAATAATAACAATAATAATAATAATAAAAGTAATGATAATAAGGGTATTAGGAATTACAACACTAGTTGCACTTATACTACACTTATATGGTGGTACTACAATACGAAGGGAAATCAATCATTAACCAGCGGCCTGCTTGAATATCTGGGCTACCTGTTCCACCGATCTAGATATTTCATCAAGTTATCTGTTTTGTTGTTTGTTTTAGCACATCACTATGTCTATTGTGCGCACAACCTATTCAGGCGCGTTTATGAAAAGTTTACAGCCTTTCGCTATACGGGATACAAAAAGGTACAATCAGAGACATCATGGTTGCTGGCAATATCCATTGAAACAAATGAACAGTAATCAAATGTGGATTACCGAACTTCTAACATCTAACTGGTCATCATTCAAAATTTATCGCCACAATCGATCAAGGTATAAGAAAAGGAAACTTGTTGAAATACTTTATGCTGAGAATTCTATGTTGTACCAAAAATATAATGTTGAATAAAGCTTCTAATAATAGAAAAAAAATAATAGAAAAGAGTAACCTTTATTTCCGATGACTGATAATTCATACAAAACTTAAGTGACCAATTTCATAATGATGTGTAGACCGAATAGGCAGAGGGATAGATAGATAGATAGATAGATAGATAGATAGATAGATAGATAGATAGATAGATAGATAGATAGATAGATAGATAGATAGATAGATAGATAGATAGATAGATAGATAGATAGATAGATAGATAGATAGATAGATAGATAGATAGATAGATAGATAGATAGATAGATAGATAGATAGATAGATAGATAGATAGATAGATAGATAGATAGATAGATAGATAGATAGATAGATAGATAGATAGATAGATAGATAGATAGATAGATAGATAGATAGATAGATAGATAGATAGATAGATAGATAGATAGATAGATAGATAGATAGATAGATAGATAGATAGATAGATAGATAGATAGATAGATAGATAGATAGATAGATAGATAGATAGATAGATAGATAGATAGATAGATAGATAGATAGATAGATAGATAGATAGATAGATAGATAGATAGATAGATAGATAGATAGATAGATAGATAGATAGATAGATAGATAGATAGATAGATAGATAGATAGATAGATAGATAGATAGATAGATAGATAGATAGATAGATAGATAGATAGATAGATAGATAGATAGATAGATAGATAGATAGATAGATAGATAGATAGATAGATAGATAGATAGATAGATAGATAGATAGATAGATAGATAGATAGATAGATAGATAGATAGATAGATAGATAGATAGATAGATAGATAGATAGATAGATAGATAGATAGATAGATAGATAGATAGATAGATAGATAGATAGATAGATAGATAGATAGATAGATAGATAGATAGATAGATAGATAGATAGATAGATAGATAGATAGATAGATAGATAGATAGATAGATAGATAGATAGATAGATAGATAGATAGATAGATAGATAGATAGATAGATAGATAGATAGATAGATAGATAGATAGATAGATATTTGGATATATAAATTGACTGCAATGTTAAGATTTCTACTATGTGTAAATTTTAACTGCACTTCAAATGAATATGTACTTACCATCAGTATTAGGTACATTACATTGTATGGATATTTCCGTGATAATGCTGGAACAAACATCCAAACTGTTTGAAGAACTAAGTAGATAGCGCTGTAGATAGAGTAGAATATTTATAAGAATATTAACTTAATGACAAATATAATAATATCATTCATAGTTACAGATTATATTTTGATATAGTGGAGAGGACGTGTAGCTTTGAGTGGATATCGTGCTATGAGAACGTATTAAGAAACTGGTTCACATGTCTACTGATTCAGCACTCTATGAAATAACGTTTATTCTCGATGTTGCTTCACGGCTTGGGAATTAGACCAGTCGGACAAGGTTTCAGAAAGTTGTTCCTCATCAAAACCATATGCTTCTGTCTGAGAGCCCGCATAGCATTCCATCCTTCTCATATATATGACAATGAATAAGTATGGAGAAATGGATTTACCATCTCCACTTCACTGCCAAATCAAAACACAATTATTTTCCACTTAATTCATGTCTTTGTTTTACCTCACTCCACTTTCTATTCCGTTCATGCATATTCTTTAAATCACACACCAGTCTGTCTATGAGGAAATTGTTTTCTCATCTAAATGAAATCAAATCAATGACTAGTTGAAAGATAAGCATTACTACATGATGAAGATTGTGAATGAGATTTTCTGGAAACAGATCTCCCATTCAAACTGGCCTGCTTCAACATTCGCCTACTAATGCAGATAGGACAACAGATAGATCTAGCCAAATCTTTTAAAAGACAATATCAGTGTTTACTGTTTATTCGTGACCTGTATTCAATACTCTGATGAGGTGCTAAACATCTACCGTATCTGTCAATATTTGTTTTGAAGGTGATCCCAGTGACTTCCATATCGTGCTTCATTTTCAGAGGCTGTGACTGGTATGGGAAAACTGAGAGACGGTCGATTTATGACATAGTCCAATAATATATAAGCTGTACAAGACTGGTATCGATCAGTTCATCACGACTTTCTGATCAGGAGACAGTGCAACTCAGTGGCTCGATGTCTTACCAGACACAGCTGAGAATAGAAACCGATCGAGGCCATGATGTAATTTCCTTTTACATTCTTCACAAGAGTGAAAGGAGTTTAGTCTACTGAAAGAATCCTTTCTGGTCAAATGTTTTCTACTGATTGGTTTTTCCCATTGTATACTACTCATGTTCACTTATTTTTATTCATTTATTTATTTAACTATACTCCCATTCCATCACAATCTTATCTTCTTATCTGTGTTGTGCATATTAATTTGATGTCCATTTCTATCGATATTTATTTTTTAAATAGTTTTGAACGTATTCATATGAGTGGGATGTTTAAGCTGAATCATTTAATTGTGTGGTGGGAATTCTGTTTTGTTAAAATCCGCGTTACCGCTAGAATATAAGTCAATCAATCTTCAAAACTTTGATTCATTATTCTAATATTTTACACATTTCTCAAATAAATTCAAGTTTACATTGATAATCAATTCTAGATTCATCTTTTTAACTTTAGTCAATGATATAGAAAATTGCTGACAAGCACTGAATAAGGATTAATCAGATCTCAATTTAACTGGCATTCACTTGAAATCCTGAGGAGAAACAGAAATGAGAAAGACCGAAGAACACACTGCATCGAAAATTAGAACCAGATATGAAAAGGATGAATAGCAATCGGAAAGAACTGTAAAGAATTGTCAAGGACAGCGTTGGGTGTAGAATGTTGGTGGGTGGCCTATGCTCCTCTATGAGGGGTAACAGACGTAAATAAGTAAATTTGTAAGTATTTCATCCTTTTATAGATTAAGTATTTAAGAACTACCATTAAAGCATCACAATACAACCATCTGTTCGGTTTGGATCTTGTGAAACATTTAATGAATAAAATATCATTTCGATCATCTTATTGAATTCATCATAATATCAGATTATCAGTACCATCGTGACAGACATTGAATACTATGCGAATATATATGTGACTAAACTTGATGGATAGTGATACTGAAATGTATTGACAATCCGTAAATATAACAAAGGCTTAATTTGAAACAGCATCATATTTTCATTCTATTAATGTTATTATTTATATATTGAATAATGATGGTAAAGTAAATGGTTCTTACCATGAGATCCATAAGATTACCACATTACCTTTAATCCATTCACTGATCTGTTGGCTTAAAAGAAATTTGATTTAAGTTTACTAAACAGTAACACAACATACACTAGAATAAACAAATTTGTTCCTCCAAAAGTGATTGCAAACTGAAGAACTGTAATTCCAAGTACCTGTAAATGAGTAAATTAGATGATGGGAACATACAAAACCATGTAAAATAGGGTTTGTGTTTTTCTAATATAAATAGTTTTATCATGTCAAATCAATTTCACATTTTTGGAGAATTCCCATGTTGTGTGACTGAAGTTGTGTAAATCCAAGATGGAGAATCTCATAGAATAATCTATCTAGTCAGTAGTTTACCGACTACAATATATATAAATATATATTGTTGTGCGACAAATCAGAAGTCCTATTCATTAACATGAGTAACTCCATTGAATCCATCGGATATCGATGCAGCACCTGTAAATGTCACTTCAACAATGACCGAAGAAACCAGAATGGCCATCAGACCAATCGGCAGTGGGAGAGCAGTAGGACCTGACAATATATTAGTTGAAGCAGTAAAGTCAGACACAGAAGTAACTGCAAACAACCCGATGGAATGGAAAGAAGGACACCTCATCAAGATACCAAAAAAGGAGATCTGAGCAAGTACGAGGATCAAAGAGGGATCACCCCATTGTCAGTACCAGGAATGGTTTTCAACAGAGTGTTTCTGAACCGGATGAAAGATTCAGTAGGGATCGGTCGTGTACAGACCGAATTGTGACACTACGGAACATCGTTGAACAACCCGTTCGGTGGAATTCGTCACCATACATCAACTCCATCGTTTATTAGTAAGCATTCGTCAGTGCGGATAGGAGAACATTACGGAACCTTCTTCAACACTATGGTGTACCTGAAAAGATTGTCAACATTATATGGGATCGATCCGATGAACTAAACTTCAAACTCGTGCATGAAAGATAGCTGACAGATGCATTCACAGTGGTAACCGGAGTCAGACAAGGCTGCTTACTCTCTCCCTTCCACTTTCTTTCTGATGATCAACTGAATTATGAATACCTTGACATCTGAGGGAAAGCACGGAATTAACTAGACGACCTGGACTTCGTAGATGACCTAGCCCTCCTACCCCATACACATCAACAAATGCAGGTCAAGACAAACAGTGTGGCAACAGCCTCTGCATCAGTGGGCCTCAACATACACAAACAAAAAAGCAACGTCTTCAGAATCAACACGGAGAGCACCAACCCAATCACACTTGATTGAGAAACTCTAAAACAAGCGGAAACTTTCACGTACCTGGTCAGCATCACCATCGATGAACGTGGAGGATTGGATGAAGACGTAAAGGAGAGGATTGGCAGAGCAAGGACAACATTCACACGGTTGAAGAAAATATGGAACTCAAAACAGCTCTCTGTATGCCAACATCACAGTCAGAATCTTCAATACGAATTTCGAGATAGTTCTACTGCATCAGACTGAAACGTAGAGAACTACCACAACCAACATAAAAAAATACGAGTATTTGTAAACAATTGTCTACACAATATACTCAATGTCCGTTGTTGGTCGAATACCATCAGTAGCAGTCTACTGTGGGAAAGGAAAAACTGGCTTCCAACTAAAAAAACATGTTGAAAGTGGATTGGGAGAAAATTGTAGGAATCATCAAACTGCATTATGAGGCAAGCCCTAACTTGTAATCCTGAAGGGAAACGGAAATGAGCAAGACCGAAGAACACACTACGTCAGGAATTGGAAATAGATATGAAAAGGATGAATAGCAACTGGAAACAAATGGAAAGGGTTGTCTAGAACAGTGTTAGATGTAGAATGTTGGTGAGCGGCCTATGCTCCTCGAGGAGGGGTAACAGGCGTAAGTAAGTATTTATTAGCATGGTTCAATGGAATCAGATATCGATTCCTAAATCTTTGATCACTGTATCCATTACTAAGAGAAGAAACAGAATCGATTCGAAATTAACTTCAAGTATCACCAGCTTTAAAAACCTTTCCCGCTTTTTAATTACCGAGTAACTTGAAAAGAAACACTTCAGCTGTAGTGAAAACTAAATTTAGGTAGTGTGCTATCAACAACGTGCAGTGTCGGAATGCATCATCATTATCCGTATGGACGAAACCGTTTAAACTAAGTGAACAAACATCCTGTCAATTAAACTAAAGTCTGTTTACTAGATGTGAATCATTGAATTTCTCTTCCAAAAATAATCTGTATTAAGTTCAATGGTGACAAGTTGTGAATAAAAATATTATCTTAAAAAGATTTTGCCAATACTTGTAAGAAGTGACAGTTTATCTAATGGACACTTTCAATTCTTCGAAAACGTAATATTTCTAGCATACAAAGTAAGAAAGATATAAGACGATTGCTTAGTTCTACAACAATCACTTTATGGATTGAAGTCATCACATCGACACAGATATATGAGTAGAAGCTATAAACTAAAATACGTCACTAAACTGCTATTTAGGGGAGAGAAATGAACTGTAGATGTCCAGACTATTTTGATAACAAAACTGAGAACAGTGATAATCAAGAGTTCTTGTAGGAATATTAGTATCATGATGACGAACAAAGCATACATAGATTATTTCAGCTTACATTCAATGCAAAAATATCACCATCATTATTCGAATATTGTCGTTGATTAATGGATGCTTCTTGTGAACTATCCAAATTGTAGCTTGCTCCTTGTGTCCACACGTTGACCACTTTCCCAATTACACAATTATGTATCATCCCTTCTACTGACAGATTATGATAATTGATAGAATGCAATTTAACGACGATTGAGTTGAGTCTGGAAGGAAATCACAAATGAAAAGATGATGTGGTGCAATATGACTCTCATTTAATAAAATCTCATAACTCATTTCCAAAATACTTGACTACACAATTAGATGTCAAGAATTTTCTGAATGAGTATTAAATTTATGCAAACTACAGATACACCATATGGGTGAGTGTCGAATTTCAATATTCATCTATAATAATCAATTTGTGTAACTATGATCAATCGAAACAGATTCAACTGAATTCCGGTAAATCGTAATATGATCCGTGTTCAACGTTCATCACTCAATGCCGATTGTCTCGAAACACTGAATACTAGTCAAAATATACAGTGGATTTCAAATGCGATTCGATGCACAGTGGTGGGATGACCGCGTGATAGTGATTGTGTTGTGGTGATTCAAGTGTATGATTGATGGATTCTCGGTTATCGTTAGTTTATTAAAATGAGAATGAGTTTGTATGGTGGATAGCGTTTCTAACATTGTATGATAAGTGATGGAACAATTTCTGAAATTAACCACACTTCACTCATAACCGATGAGACAACTGAAATGAGAATAGTGAGTCTCGTGAATTTCATTCGGTTTTCATCCTTAGTCGGTATAAAAGGTAGAGTTGATGAATACGTGTTGAATATTTATTCACCTGAGACGAATTTTGGTAATTTGTTGGTCAAGCTGATGATTTGATCAATATCACACACTGAATTGTCTGTCGAAGCGGTAGTGTAAATTACTAGTTAACACAGTGATGGATGCAGTATAATCGAAGCCCTAATACCTATTCATACTTGAGTCCTTCGTAAACCAGTGATTAATCAGAAGACGATGATGGATGTCAGATTACCTCATCCAATTATGACTCAACATGAATGCAACAATACACATATGTCACAATCATACTCTATGTGGTTGAAGGCATTGCAAACATGTCATAAAAACAAACGTAATGCATAAATCGCTACTATCCATCTAAGTAAATAACAATTGACTGGGAATTAGTGACCGATTTAGCACTGGATTTTCCAAAATTCTCGTGAGAAAGTGTGACGAGTTAATTGATTTGAAAATGAAATGGAATGGGAGATACAACTGAAATAAAGAAAACAATGACTGGTTAGAGGTGAACAATAACCAATCAACATTGAGGTCTACCGGACGAGTTGTGAGCCATATGTGGAGAAATTCGAACACTTCAATTCTACATGAAGTTCGTGCTGACGATGTTGCTCAGAATAACCACGGTGGCTCCACAACAAAACCATCCAGCTCAGAGAACAATACTCCATCATATTCATCCACCTGAGCAACAAATGTTCACCACCATCTCGAAATCGGTTGATGGTTACTCATGTTATATTATCAAGTGACTAGAGTTGGAAATTGTGATTTACGTGATTTCGTGGAGTTCCAACTCAGCAGTTATTTGATATCATTTCCATTGCAAGAACTGTAGCGCCTATGTTCAATTTAGTGGGAAGTGATGGATTCTCACTTCTGTGTAGTTCCGAACTATAAAGAAACAACCGTTTAATGCGGCACAATTTTCAATAGGTCTCTTAACGATATCTACTCGTGATGAAAACTCTTATGAATTACCGTACACAATTTAACGAGCCAACTGAATATTCCATCTGATATAGCAATTAATTAATCATAATAGTAATAATAATAAATACAGTTATAACTTCAAAGATTTCATATAAATACACTAAATGATATCACCATCATGAGTGGATCGCCAACAGACTTTGGTTAAACAACCAGTGAAAATGAATAGAAACTACAATGATTGTATTAATTACTGTATATCGTATTACCTCAGTTGGCATCATGTTGGATGTAAAGCAGGTGATATTCTTTCACTAGTTGATTAACTGGAAAATTTGATAATGAGATGGTGGTATAATCCACAAATTGTAATACACACTACAAACCTGTTTATTCTCTTACTTCAATATAATCAATGATTTGGTTATGAGGAATCCACCTAACAAAATATGGTATTCATAATGTTTTGTCAACAATCTCTATGTAAGTGTTGATTATGAATGTGTTCAATTGATATTTTCCGATTCATATTCATGTTCATTTCATTGAATAGTAATAATACAATGTGTGTCTATGCATAAACCTTGGATAATCTGCATTGAACTTTGTCTAATCCGTAATAATAATAGTGATGATAATAATAATTTTAAATACAGTCACTTTATAAAAATCAAATTGTATGAATAAATGAACTTTGAATTGTGTTGTATAATGTTGAAACATGCTGTTGACAATTCATTCATTCATTGATTCATTCATTCATTCATATTTCACATTTCTTACTACTTAAAGAAGTTAGTAGTATGTTAAATTATGCACCACAATAGTTTCAACAGAATACAATCATCAATTCACTAATAGAATTCTATTTATATCTAATAGAAATAAACCTGCATAGGGGCTCCAACAGGATCCTCTCTGAGACTATTACTAATACTACCCGTCCGAAACACGGATGAAGGAGGAGGGTTGGGCATGTGATTAGCGATCTCACCTGTCGAAAACTAACTCGCTATAAAATGCTAACCATGAAACGGTTAACAGAACGTTCTTCATATTTGAAATGCACAGATTATGAACTTAATGACAAACGACTGACTAACGTAGTACCACCATGTAGTTCGACTGAAGTCATCACATGATATAGTAATGAACAGATGAAATTAATGTCATAGTAGTTCCCTTCTAACAACAACAATAACAACAACAGCTGAATATAAACCAGAAGTGACAGGACAATGAAAGAGTTAACAAGACTTCTATCAAATATCAGTATTATTATCATTATTCCTACTAGTAATTCGTTAACATTTGGTTTGATTTAACAAGACTTGAATTTAGGCTGGATGCGTCCTCTTCAACAATGAACATTCTGGACTCAATCATGCTAGAAACTCAATCAACTTCAGAGCTGAGTCGTACTAAGTCATTTATTGTTTACGTTGGAGTATTCCATTCCCTTCTTTCTTTTCTCCCACTCTAATTTATCAGTTTGTTCCGTAACCATTATCTCACAAACACTTTTAACCATACTTAATACGTCTTCGATCTTTCTTGATGAACACAGTTTTATTACACAATCTTATAGTTTTCTAAACAAAGCTCTTTGTGTCTGATTGGGCAGAAACTATTGAAATCTAATCAAAGTCGAATGCGAGTGTCTTTATGATGAGTAAATGTTTAGTCTTGGTCGTTTGCTCTGTGTTCACATAAAGTGTAGTCTGAAGTTCTGTTTGTTGTGTGAAAATGAAAACATGGTGGGTAATCGCATACATGTTCCTGTCATCAGCCTGACCACCATAAATAGATTACCTCTCAATATTTGGATCGTCCAAACATAATGATGGCAGACTATAACATTCTTGACTTATTTATCACTGACTCCTAGGAACTGCAAACACCAACCAACCGAACTAATATGGAACCACATTGATGAAATTTCAACATATACAAAACAGTATTCTCAGAAACAGAACCTTTATGCTTCAATTCTGTCATTCATTTCAGACTACCAAAACTTGAACATGAATTCAATCACAATAAAACAGATGCTGACATTTTTCAATTTGAAATGTAATCTCTACAAATCATAAAGAAGTATGATACTGGGATATTGCAATCATAATCATTCAGACAACTATAAAACCACTGCAAAATCATTTCGTTCTTTTGAAGATATAACTCTCCCACCGAATTTTAATTGTATTTCATAAACTATATCAACAGTATTTGAACATGATTTGAGGAAATATATTTAGTCGCTCCTTTTCCCTTACCCAGCTTATGGCCTAATTATTTAATAATCATTATGATATTGTGCAGTATTCGATTAGTGCTAATTCGCATAGCTTAAATCTATCTTATTCATACATCATACCATAAATACTATCACTATTATTATTATTATCATTGCTGTCATCATTATCATAAGAACCGCTAACGTTTTTCAGGAATTTATTCAGCATCTACCCTTATTTACTAATTCATACCCAATCCTACATATTACTTGATTTCTGATTTGCAATTACAGTATTCTCTCTCTCGCCCCATGTTGATCATATTTATTCTGATCATTTATCTCACAACTTCATTGCTTTTATAAAATGACTAATGTTAACACTTTATGTTAGTGATCCCAACATTATTTTACCCTAAATTCTGATGCTACAATTTTAAATGATATACTTCGCCTTAATCTACGTATCTCATGAGGAATATCAGCGAAGTATTCATATAACAGAAGGGAAATATTTATTGTTAGTCGGATTCGGTGTCTATGACGGTCAGTAAATTTACCAGTTGAGTCACAGATATAGAAAGCATTCGTATTGAGCCACTAACGGTGTTATTTAGTTTCTGATATAGTGTGTTGTATGCTACCTATGCTGGCAGATATAAGTGGTAGAATGCCTGCAGTAGAAGACTGAAGTGAAGAGAACAGGAGGAAAATGAATGAGCAATCAAAACAACAGAATTAGAGGAATAGTGAAGTTCGTAAAGGGTGATGCAAAGATGAGGAAATGATGTATTCAATATACGATTTTCATATTTTACTAAGCTACTATGTGGTTTAGCACGAAATAATAAACTGGTTATCGCCACTTGACTTCTCATTCACTATGATAGGATTTTATTTGAATGGATGCTTCGTCCAAAACAACTTTCAGACACCAGCACTCCACCCGTCTCCAACGAACCAGATGTTCACAGATATCCAGTAAGTGATATTTGAACAATCCAGATTCCAATAGTTGATATAGAAAAGAGATTTTTTGTCAACCGGCCAATTTGACCACACATACATATTAACCATCGAACAGCGGATCCGTCCGAAAACGAATTACTAAAACTCACGAAACGATGCTTTGTCCACTATCAGTTCTTGCTGCATTCTTTCTGACTATGTCTTAGATCAAGCTTTATTTCACCCAGATATCCTACAGTGATTCTATTGTCAAAATCTCAAAACTGAAATATGTAGTGACAAAAGTGGACATGTGGTCACTGATATACATAATAGGTCGGAGATCCAACCATTAACGCCAGAATCTAGCTACTTTCTCACCAGCAAGACAAACTAGAGTAATATTGCCCTAGTCACCGGTAATAGTACACTTAGTCGAAATACCAAAATATACACGCAACAGGCAAAAAACAGAATCATTTGGAACTTATTTTATTTCCAGTAATCTTATGTAAACCCTTCATAACCTCTAAAATTACCACACAATCTATATCAAGACCTCGTTTAATTAATGCATCACCCGCCCCTTATGTCTATGAATTCCAACTCCATATACATATCGGTGACCTTTGTCGCCTTAATTCTTTTCCTTTTAAGTCTTTTTCGTCGATTGTGTCACATTATATCTTATTTCAACGTTAACTTTCAATACACATGGTTGTAAGATGATGAGAAACCGAGAAATATAATGAATTCATATTATTCTGCGCCAATGTTTTTACTGGCTTTATTCAGTTATTTGTTTTCAGAGAGGTGTTCTAGAACACTTCTGGATGTTTTATGGGTCGTAAGCCGTATACAATCGCTGACACATTCCTCTTGTTTGCTAGATGACGCATAGTGATTGGTACAGTGTGTCCAAGTAGAAGGTGAACGATGTGTATTTATCGTTTAAGCATTGATAAAATCAATTGTACTATTTCCTTTATCAATATTATTCAACATAAAGGCTCTAGACACGTTAATTTCTAAACGTCTCATTATTGTAATCTCAATGTAGCTGAGATCCTTCAACATAAATAATAAACTTCTTAGATGCGCCAAATAAATTATTTTACTTGTTGAACCTTTGGCGAACAAATCAATGAAATCCCTGTCGACCTACTTTCCTTCAGATAAGATTTATGTAGTCTACACGATCTACTGTCAATAGTAAATTTGAAGGTATATATTGATCATTAAGAAACGTACGAGAATTATATGGTTCCAAAATACCGACGACATCAATACGTCAATTCATCCGTAGATCTAATTAGAACAGGAAACTTTCTTGTTTTAACCAAATTGGTCATCTTCACTCTGCTCAAAAACAACTTAATAAGGACAGAAAGTTGGATAAAATCGGACAAGTATCATAAATGACCCCCTATGTAAACCATTTTCTTTTAACAAATTCTGATTTGTAGATTAAAACAATTCTAAACAAATCTCACTTTTATTCACAAAGGAATAGTACACATATAAACAGTGACAAATACATAACATTATCAACCGACAACTTTTCAATTCGTTACAAAACGCCTTAAAACGTTGGTCTTTTGTTGTTTTCGTCTTTCAGGATGGCCATCAAATGGTTGATTATTTGAACAAAATGACCAAATTCCAGTTAAACGTGGATTTACGATTTGAGTGCACACTATTAATAAACATACAACCATTGTAGTCCATATAGGAAATACTGCATAAATCAGACGGGTTTTAACGGCGGTTGAATTACCGGTTTGATTGCTAGTTGTAGTCTGGTTAATAACGTTCGACTGAGAAAAGCTGTCTAACAAAGTCGTTAAATAGCCTTCCAGGGATAGGCAGAGAATAATCTGTGCAATTGACTTCCATAAGATAAAACTCAATGTCAGAGTCTGATTAAATCTACCTTCAACGTTATGTTGACCAATTATATGGGTAAATCTGAAAATTCATCAGTTTAATGCATAATAATCAACCAGTTGAGTTTTAAGAACATACTTTCGTGACATATATAGTATTGAGGTAATGAATAACATAAAATCAAAAGACCACATTGGTATGAATATGATGAACCAATTCCAAGAAACGATTTCATCAAGTTTTAAAATCAACAAGAACAGAAACGCGCAACAGCTTGTCCAGATAAATATCACTTTACTCATAAGCATCTTCTGTAATCATAGAACTGTATCCTTTCGTATTTATGACATACCCTGGAAAACTCAAACAGAAATCCCAAGTAACGATTAGTTTCCTATTGTTGGCTGGAAAGGTCTTAGGTTTGAAATAACGATTGAAACTTTACTTTATCAACTTCTAGTTTCGAATGCCAGAACGTATTAATTTCATGCGGAAATTAGGTTCATCTTACACGTGTATTTGTACTGGAAGAACGCTACATTCACTGTCATACATCCCAAACAACACCCACAATTCAGTCGAAAATAGTAGATTGTTTTACCGCCAAGGTCGTGAAGGTGCCAGACCTTAACAGTCCTCTCAATGTACAATCCTCGTCATTGTCAATTCATTACGGTATAAAGCTAAAACATTTTGCTTAGTTCTATGAATTTAAATTTTTCTGAATCATTCAATCTTCTTATGAGATAGCTGAAGAGAAATGGGGTATCGTAGTCTGGGGAGTGAAGTTCAAACCCTAAACTTTGATCGGATGGTTGTCGATGGAACAGAAGAAGCTCTCACTTGACAAGCTGTCATGTCTGGTAGTAATAGATCACCGACTCCTCCATGTAGGGGTCTAGATATATGGAACGGACGAAGATACTGGCAAATTAGTATGAAACAGTTTTACGAGCACCTAGGATCCATCAAATCTCTTTAGTGTTTTAAGGTTTGCTTTTTAAACTACATCCACCGATAGAGAAGCCCAAGACTTGGCTACGCGCAACGATTGGGGAGTGTGCCTTTAGTTTACCTTACTGTGTTGCGTTATAGTTTTCGGGTATTTGTATGTTAAGTATGTAGAGGTAAATAAATCCCCAAAATCAATAGCCCTATAAGTCTCCGACATTCGATGCTGATCACATTCATTTTAATGGACTGACCTAGCTGAAGGCGGTCAGTCATGCAAACGCACCAGATCACGGGTGAGAACGCCGTGCTCAACATCCCCTGCAATCGCCAACCAGATTAGATTAGTAGATCCTCGATATATTGATAGCCTATCAAATCTATCTTCGAACCACCTCGCTTCTGTCTTTTGATTTCACTTGGTGGGTACGCTTCATATTAGAAGGTGTTACTGGTTGAAGCGTTGTCGAACTCCAAATACCTGTGGCATCTTCATCAGTGAGTCCGGTGTGATCTGATACACTAAAATGCAAACAGTGAGTCTGATCTTTTCTGGGATTTTATGTATCACTGCTTCGTTTTAATTTTTAGATATTGTGATATATTTTGGGCGTTTCTGGATATTTTTATACGTATATATTTTGCTCGTCCATTCTCGTACTTCATATTTTACCATGACGGAACAGACACCCAAGGTACTTAAGCTAAAGACTATGTCCCCACCTTCGTTTCAACTAATGTCCTTCTGGCCAGACAACCTCGAGGTCTGGTTCTGCCATGCGGAAGCCGACTCCTACGAGCACGACGTGAACGACACACGTGCACAATTCCTCGCAGTAGTCAAGGCACTACCGAGGGGCAAGTAAGACCTAGTATGTTTACTGGTGATGTTTCGGAACCTTACAAAACTCTTAAACGCGGAAAACTAACCAATCGATAAAGGTCAGGCCAACTCCTTAATAATATTGACCTGCAACACAATTCTGCGACAAAAATGTTGCTACGAATGAGAGAGGTGATTTACCAAAGAACGTTCGATAATGGCCTATTCAGACAATTCTTCTTATCTAAAATTCCTCAACAAGTGCAAGCTGTGCTAATCTCGTTTCAAAACAACGCCGTAGACGAGCTGGCTGCATCTTCCGACCGAATCTTAAAAATCACTAAGTCTAACGTCGGGATTTTTCAGTCAAAGAAAAGACTTAAGCGACACAGAATGACATTAAGGAACTATGTCATTAGCCGGCACGTTATCTTAGATTTCGTAATGTCCGTAAACGGTCACATACCCCGCGAAGAAGCACTTCACGTGGACGATCTGTCTCTGAACCACGAAAGAAGAATAACCCCGACTGGTGCTGGTATCATAACCAGTACTGAAAATCTAGAAATTGCAGAAAACCCCGCAATTTTTCGAACTCAAAATCGACCGACACAAAAAAAATTCGGGAAACTTCCAAACCAGCACGTGTTAACGGCAACCGTACCCGGCGATCATAGCCGTCTGTTATACGTCACAGATGTGATAACGAAAGTTCGCTACCTCGTCGATAGTAGCGCTGAAGTTAGCGTTCTTCCTGCAAATCCTAACGACCAGCTTCACGAATCTGTTTTAAACTTACAGGTGGCAAACGGAAAGCCCATCGCTACATACGGTAAAGGTTACGCTTACCTTAACGTGGGTTTACGCAAACCCATTCACTGGGTCTTTGTTGTTGCAGATATTTCTATGCTAATCATTGGTACAGGCCTACTACAACACCACAATCCACTCATCGATACGCGAAAACGGGGGCTAATAGACAGAAATACTAATTTATCTGTTTGCGTAACGTCTTTTTTCCGGTCGCAGATTATTGCCACAGTTAGGCACACGATGGATCCATTCTAACAAAAAACACCCGATAAATATTCTGGCATACACCAACCTCAACCGAAATCGTTGTGTGTAACCAACAACGTTTCACATCACATCACGACTACAGGACCTCCTGTATTCTCGAAAGCGCGCCGACTGGCTCCTGAAAATCTGAGGTTGGCTAAAAACGAATTCGATCACATAATAGAGTTAGAAATCATTCAACCGTCAAGCAACCCATGGGCATTCCCTTGTACATGGTCCCTAAAGAGAACAGGAACGATCGGCGTCCAACTGGTGACTGTCGGCGATTGAATGCAAAAACCATTCCCGAACGTTACCCGTTGCCTCACATTCACGATTTGACAGCTACCTTGAAAAGTACAACTGTCTTTCCAAAAATCGACCTGATTAAAGCCTATAAGCAAATTCCCATGGCCACTGACAACATTCTAAAAACCGCTATCATAACTCTTTTCGGTCTTTACGATTTTTGCACATCCCTTTCGGCTCAATAAATGCTGCCCAGACCTTCCAAAGCTTCATAGATGACGTTTTTTGAGGTCTCAACTTCGTTCATGTGTATGTCGACAACTGTCTAATAGCAAGTCCGGACAGAGAATCGTATCTCTAGCATCTGGACCTTGTTTTCGACCGACTACAAAAACATGGCATTACTGTAAACATTCAGAAATGCCAAATCGGAACTAACTCCTTGATTTCCTAGGACACAAGATTGATGCTCAAGGCATCTCTCCTCTAAGAAGCAAAGTGGTGGTCATTCTGGATTACCCAGAACCGACCACCATTAAGCAATTAAGCACTTTTAACGGCCTCGCAAGTTTCTATAGACGTTTCATACCGAAATGCGCGTTACTTATAAAACCTCTTACTGACCAACTTCGTGGAAATGCGAAATCCATTAATTTGGACGACACCGCACGGAAAGCATTCCTCACAACTTATCACTAAAGCAACAATGCTTGCACATCAGGACACTCAAGCACCCATTAGCATCGCAGTAGACGCAGCTGACTCAGCAATTGGAGGAGTCTTATAACAATGGGTTAACAACTCCTGGCAACCTTTGGCATTTTTCTCTAGACGGTTGCTAGACACCGAATCGAGGTACAGCACATTCGGTAGGGAACTCCTGGCTATGTATTGTGCTGTATGGCATTTTCAACACTACATCGAAGGCCGTAAACTCACCTTTTTCACTGACCATAAACCTCTTACTTTCTTCTTAAGCTCCTCTTCAGATAAGTACTTACCTCGTGAGTCTCGACAACTGGACTAGATTTCGCAGTTTACTTCAGACATCCAACACCTTTCTGGAGCAAACAATGTAGTTGCAGACGCCTTGTTTCGAATAACTTCCTTGAACAGTTTCCAAGGAATCGACCTTCTTAAACTCGCCCAGTTTCAAAAAGAAGACACTGATCTTCAGCACGAGTTATCGCCCACAACACTTAAACTACGCATCAAACAGATGGGAACAGGTAAGGAAACCTTACTTTGTGACACATCTACAGGTAGGGATCGCTCAATCGTGCCGAAACATTATCGACGCAATGTCTTCAACACATTGCACAAACTTTCGCATCCAGGTGTTCGTGCAACCATCAAGCTCATGGTAGAACGGTTTTGCTGGCCTGACATGAATAAAGACGTGAGGGAGTGGGCATGCTCCTTTGTAAGCTGCCAAAAATATAAGGTTATCAGACACAATAAATGTCCCTTAGGCTCGTTTAAAACTCCCGATGCTCGTTTCCACCATGTTAATCTGGATTTAGTAGGAACGTTACCAGATTCAAATGGATACTGTTATCTCTTAACTCCGGTAGACCGTTTCACTCGATGGCCAGAAGCAGAACCAATCAAGGACATTACTGCTGAAACGGTGGCCCGCTCCTTTGCCGGACGAGTGATGGAAAACTCCGGTTGCCCTTCAACTATCACTACAGATCACGGACGCCAGTTCGAATCTAGACTTTTCCATTGTCTGACAAAGCTATTAGGAATCACTCACTTCCGAAAGACCGCCTACCACCCACAAGCGTACAGGCTGGTAGAACGCATTCACCGACAGCTAAACGTTTCCCTTCCAGCTGTAAACGTTTCACAGTGGACCGACGCCTGTCCACTCGTCTTACTAGGTATTCGCAATGCAGCACAAGCTTGTAGTGTCAGTCATTATTTTAAGCCCATATATCTTATTCTAGTTTTTGGACAAACCATTCTATTCATTCTAATTGAGTCATATTTTGACCTTGTCAATTATCCGCTTATTAGTCTTGATTGTTTTTATATGGGCGTATATATGTGTGTCCTTCTTATTCCATTAATCACATGTCTGTAGCTTTATTTTGTCTGACTATAAATATTGAGTAACGCTTGACTAAAATGGAGTTGGCTTCCCAGCCATCTTCTCTGCGTGTCATTTTGATTTGCTCTGTTTCATTCGCTTCATGTACGAAATATATGTATTCTCAAGTCAATTCTCGTTATTCGACTTATTTAATTCCGTTATTGGATAACGCGATTTAAGTCGACGATGATATACGAGAATAGGCGATAACAAACATTTATACGATCTTGAAGTCAGATCCACGGGCCACTAAAAGCTGATGTTGGATACACTACAGCCCAACTGGTTTATTGAACGATACTTCGACTTCCGGGAGAATTCGTGGATCCTTCATCTTCTTCAGTGAATATGGATATGCCTAAAGGAATCATTATTGAATACATACATAACAACTTTTCCAAAATTCCATGTTGCAGCTTAAATGAACTAAGTC